ACGAACGTGCTACAATAGGCGCTATTCGAGACTCGCCGCGATGAATTTGACACCACAGTCAGAGTGCTCTAAGATTTAAAGATGCGAAAATGTTCTTTAAAGAAAATTATATGAGGCGTCTAGACTCAAATAATATTAAACAGAGAGTTTAATTGTTCAAAAGCGCTTTTCTTTGGAAATAGCACCTTTTTCTATTTTAAAGGACCTGAAATTTTTAAAATCAAACCAGCAAGATAATCTATCCTTCAATTGTCGATATTCTATTTTTTCGCTTTAAGCTTCAAACAAAACCTTGAATTACTACTTTGTAAACAAAATTGTGTGATTCAGACTCTTATGAGCCTTCCATTGTCTTCTAGAGTGATTTATCCAAAATCTAATTCATTTACGCCTTACTTAAGTTGAATGTAATTAAAGGCTTTGGAAGGCAGATCCGCCAGATGTTGGTGAATGGGCTTATCTGATGGGACAAATTAAACAATTTTAATGAAGGGAATGCCAACCGTATGCAAAAAAAGGCTTAATGCGAATTTCATTTTCTTTAGTTCCATTCATCTCTCAAATGGCTCGACCTTGCTCCTTTTAACCCTAAAATTAAGGAAAAACAACACTTACAGAAACTTTCTGAAATTGGATATAGTATTGAAACACTCAGATGTTGTCATTGAATTCAATTATTCATTGCCACTAAGGTCACATCTATTTATATATATACAACATCAGCATTCCTATAGCATTTCAACAAAAATGTCTGCAGTGAATATTACTCGACGTCTTTCCAATTTTTGCTGTATCTGCTCTGCTAATGTATTCCATTGACTCTCGAAAATAGGCTGGAAAAAACAAAATTATGCGCTTTAATAATAACTTCATTAAATGAGAAAATTTTGAGTTACCTGTGGTGTTTCTACAATTACTTCACCGCTAATTTCATACTGTTCTGACTTCACTGCGGGCACAGGTGCATCTGTTGGAGATTCGGGCGCGGCCGTGGTCTCCACATCTTCTTCTGTAGTGGTTGCTTCTTCTTCGACAGTTGTCACGACCTCGTCTGTTGTTAGCTGTTCGTCGGTAGTCGTTGCGACATCTTCGTCCTCGGGAGTTGTTGGCTCCTCAGTTTCTGACGTCTCCAATGTAATATCTGTCGTTGAAGTTTCCTCCTCCTCCTCCTCCTCTGCAGCGCGTTTTCCACGTTTTGCTGCCACGGCTGCATCTTCTACGCATTTGTAGGCAACAGCTCCTAAGATATTATCTAACTTTAGCCTTTCCGTAGATTTTGATATTTGAGACTCTTGAGGTTTGAAGAAAACGAGAAGTCAAACCTACCATGATAAACGACATATGTGCCAGCCTTCTCGCATCTAGGCCCATCAGCAAGCAGAATTTTAGGTGCTGTGTATTCATACGTTAGTGATGCCATACTTGTTGGTATCCCATTTTCAGTCAATGCAGAGATAATCTCAAAAAAAAGAAAATTTTTCATGACTTCCTTTTCTCTTCTTTTCCAAGCAAAAAACCAAATGTGAAAAATCAGCACATCAACCAAAATTTGAGGAATTTCAACATTATTCGAATTCGAGAAAGGTAGTACCATTCTCTACTACTACCAACATCTTTGGGCAAAAAAAATCTGAATTAGAGGGGTTTGAGCGTCGAAAAAAAACGTTGTAGCAGTGACAGACATCTTTAACAATTTCCTGAAGAGCTTAAGCAATTGATTACATGCACAACTTCGCAGAGTTTCAAAAGATGAGAAGTAGGAGATTTTTGGATATATAGAGAGCAGTATGGGCAGTTGTTACTGCAAAACCGTCGTGGCAACCAAACATGCCTGGTTCAGCTCATTAGGAGGTATACTCATTCTGGCTTAGATACTCTTTTACTCTTATTTCTATAACAGCATTTGTCATATTTCAGTGTGGTGGGGATAACAGGTCGTCGCTACACTTGGAAAGTTTGTTCACGATTGTAATAAAAACAAACAATGGAAGAAAACTTACTGCAGCTCTAAGGTCTTTGTCAGCGTTGTTTTCAGCAGCTTTAGCCGAAGAGGTTTGTCCAAGTGCTGGAGAATCGCTGTAGGTGTATCTTGGAAGTGGAGAAACAGAAAAATGCAGTGCGGCTGTTTTCGATATGCCTCCTTGGT